GGCCTGTGGTGTTGCCAGGGATGGGGCCTCCACGACCTCTCCAGGCAATCTGTTCCAGGCTTTCACCACTCTCATGGTAAAAAATTTCTTCCTTACATCCACTCTAAATCTCCCCTCCCTTAGTTTAAAGCCATTGCCCCCTGTTCTGTCGCAACAAGCCCTGCTGAAAATACTGTCCCCACCTTTCCTATAGGCCCCTTCAGGTACTGGCAGCTGCTCTAAGGTCTGCCCGCAGCCCGCTCTTCTCCAGGCTGAACAGCCCCAACTCTCTCAGCCTTTATTAACACGATTAATCATAATTAACACAATTTCCACAGCTGCAGAGCTCCGAATCACCCTGCGTGTTCCTGCCAGAAGGAACAGCGTTTCGAGCTACTGCCAGGGCTGCTTTGTTTCCAAATAAGCAGCATTTCACCCCCTTCTCTCTCCTTCTTCATCATCCCACAGCCCAAAGCTCTGTGGAGCGGCTGGGTCAGTGGGCTGTGGCAGCACAGTCCAGCAGGCCGGGGAGGGACCTGCTGGAGGGGCTTTTGCCTTGGGACAGCCCTGCGTCCCCCCAGTGCTGCCCTCGCACCCAGCAAACCGTGCCCACCAGTCCAGCACCAGCCTCAAATTAAACTTCCACAACACTCAAACCGCTCACCGCACTTTTCCGGGTGCTCACCATGGCGCAGCCCACGCAGGCACAAAAGCAGAGAGGCTTCAGGTCTCTAGGTAGTTATTTATTGTCGGAGAGACTGGCTGCGTCACAGCCTCAACGTGCCGCTACACGGGCGTCCCCTCACCCTGCGCCTGTTTCTCCTTTGCAGCCCTCGCTCTTGCTTGCCACTCTCTCCTCTGCTTCAGCCGCTCTGCTGCTTTCAGCGCCACCGCTCACGGCTGCACGCAGCCGGGACCCGAGCTCCCGCAGTGCAGGCCGGCAGGAACGCCGTGCCGCAGGATCAACTCCTTCCCACGCGCCTCCTCCAGAGCTCCGGCCAGCCCTGCTGTCAGGGTGCCATGCGCAGGTATGCTGTTACAGCTACCCAGTCTTTTGGTTATAAGCTCATTGGACTGAAATTTAGTGTTTAGAGACTGAAGGCATGTCCAGCTTTTTGGTTCTGCTCAGTTATAGCGAGACACACTGCACGCAGCGGTCACACCAATGTATTTACAGCATGAGAGCAGACAGTGGGCGTACCCACACTGCTGTTCAAAGTGGCCATCACATGTAATTGTCTCACACATTAGTTCCCATACTAGGCTTTGAAAAAAAAACCTGGTTTGAATCATACATTTCTGGGCAAACTATTAGCACAATCTGCAGTTCTCACGCACAGCACATGCGACACTGCCCATAACACAACTCCTTCGTGGAGCTCTTTGCTGAGCTTATGCGTTTCTCTACAGCCATTATCACTGCCTCCTCAAATTCAAAGCACGGATTACAAGGACTTGCCTATCAGTCTCTTCTAACTGTCTTAATTATGCCCTTCTATAAAGAAGGGGATTTTTCTACTCGAGCTACAATGGCGCTCCCTCCAGACTGCTCCACACCTTGCGGCAGAAAGCCTTCTTCACAAGCCACCGCTTGGTGATCCGTCTGGAGTAGGGAGGGGGGAGGCTGTACTGGATATTCAGCTGCTTGCAGGTGTTTTCAAATCTATCATAGCGGACACGGCGAAGATACGCCAGCATCTTATTCCGGTGATCTATATCCATCAGCATGCGTCGGCGGTTACTTTTATCCTGCAAAGGACCTAACGTTCAATAGATTGCAGACAGATTATACTTCCATTCCAATAAATTACTTAGTATAGACCAGATTACGGCTGAAAAGAAACAATCAGGTTAAGGGCAGTATCCTAAAACAATTTTTCTTGGCAGATACTGCAAGCACATTAGGTCACTACAAGGAGATCCAAGACTTAATTTACTTTTCTCTGAAATTGCTTTCTTCATTCTGTGTCTCCACCTTCCTCCCTCAATCCTGAAGACTGCTTTCAACTTGCACGCAGTTTCAGGCGGTGGCAAAAGCTGCAGTGGCTTGGAGGCAAAGGCTGTAGGGAAGATCTACTGGCTAAAAACTCTGTTTCCCCTGAAATGTATTGTTCCAGAAATAACATAGAAGCATTTACCTTTGTTTCTCCAGAAATTAAATGTGAAAATAAAATGTGACTTGGCTCCATCTGACCATCTGCATTGTTCTTTGGAAAGAGAATATGCGTAGCGTGAGCCATGCCATTCCAGGCAGTCCCCCACGGGAGAAACTTCCCTACCCTAGACAGGCAATTTGTGTAAAAAGCGGGCTTCATCCAAGTAATTTCAAGAGGTTTCTTTTGCCGAAACATTTGGTACGACTTCTGGCTTCTTATAAAAAACTGAATTCTGTTGTGGTTTATCCTTCAAGCTTTTATGATTAACAACTAATTATGCACTTTTTTCAAATGCAATTGATTAATCCATTTCCCACCTTTTGCACTGCATAAAGAGTCTTTAATAGATCTTGTTCATAAACTCGGTTGTGATGTTTCGAACTTGGGCTCTGAGCCCAGGCAGCTTTAGGTAGGGCAGCGGCCATTATGGCATCAGCACAGTCCTGTCCACCAAACATCTTCATAGGCAGAACAAAGACAGAATACAGCTGCTGAGGTGGTAACATTAATTACACTGAAAATCAAGCAGTGAAGCCACCTCTGCAGCAAGGATTAATTTAGCTAAACTCTGTTCAAAGGTATCTGCTCAGCCATTTTCACCAATCCAGCAACAAAAAAGAACACACTCCACATTTCAGTCGGTGAGAATGCAGCTGTGACTGAGCCAGCAGTTTCCCAGGCTGGCACCAGGGAACAGTTATAACTATTTTATAAACCTTTTCAGGAAAGCCATAATCCCCAGAATGAAAATCCTTTTGTTCTAAACCGAGAAAACAACCCGAACAGCTGCTGTCTCAGACGTGTGGGCTCAGATCGCTGATGGTTACCTTGGGATGCCTCTGAAGGTGCTCCTCGTAAGTGCGTATCTTGGCAGTCAACACAGCAACTGTAAAGAACAGACGTAAGGAGCCGTGTGAGAGCAGCAGCTTTCCAGGGTGAGACAGTATCATCTGCAATCCCTTCAAACTGCCAGCTGAGCACTGCTGTTCTGACGGGTACCCACCGCACCACAGCAAGCATTACCGCTCAGCCCTCCGCATAAATGCAAAACAAACCACAAAACACAGCCTACATAAACCAGAGTCAGAACTATTACTGTTATGAAGCTGCTTAATTAGAGGCTAAAATTTTAACAACAGATCATGTGAATTTGTCTGTAAAACACCTCTTGCACTCACTTAACTACTGGTGACTTTACATTCATTTCACTTCACTTGGTTTAAGCTGTGGAGGAACACACACAAATTAAGAGGTTCTTTCCAAGAGCAGCAGCCAGCTCTTTGTGATTTCAGGCTTTGGAGAAAGGTGCTGGTGGCATTGTGAGAAACCGAAGGCCTTTATTAATGATAAAGGGGTGCATCTTGCTCAGCGGCAGTGCAGCCTTCATCCCCGCGCTGTCCCTGCACCGTGCTTCAGCCAGAGCTCTTGGATGCCGCGGGAAATTTGGGTTCCGTGGCTAAATCTAGTAGTTCATTTTGGTAATGAATGCAGTGCAATGCTTCATGTCACGCAAGCACTTCAAGCACCATAATGCACATGCTGCCTTTGGAGGGCGGATGCGGAGCGGGGATTTGGAAGCCACCCCAGCAGACACCTGCCAGTACGTGCAGGCCCTGCCTCTGCCACGCTCCGAGCCCTGAACAGGTCTCCCCGGGCACGCTGCCGGCGTCTCGGGCGCTCTGCTGAAGCAGATCCTCCTAACCGATGCAGCAAACCTGAAGTGCTGGGGTGGGAACGGCTGCCTCAAAGCAGAGATGTACTATCTGCCAACAATACGCTTCCACTTTTTTAACTTACCTTGCACCTCAAAGGAGCCATTGTCATTGGGAGACCTCCTGACCTTCTCCACCAGCTGCTGTGTCTTTATCTTCACCTTCTCCTTCTGTGGATAACAGAAAAGAGCTTGTGACTTTCTCAGGAACACTAAAGGTCTGAGACACCCCAGCTCTCTTCCCAAACACGCAGATAAAGGCTTTGTAATTAATAGATTTACTCAGTGTCCATCACAATATGTGTAAGAAGTGCTGCAAAAAAGGATCCGCTGCTTGCCGGACCGTGCTCAGACTGCAGCAGTGAAGCAGCACAAAAAGATCTGCGCAGAACACAGGATCGCCGTTGTTCAAACCAAGAGCCCAGGCACACCCTCCACCCCAGGATTACAGAAGGGTGTTAAGAGGCCCCGCTGCTCTCACGAATGGAAGAGAGAACTGAAGCTGACCTCACGTCGCAGCAGCCTTTACTTTTCGCATCTTTTTAAGCTGAAGTGGTAAGCAGCAAGAAATGGTAAGATCTTTGTGCTACCTGACGATGTGCTTACTTTGTTTTCTGGGCATACAAAAAGTAAAAGTAACGTGCAGAACATCTGCTGTCCGGTGTACTATTGTCTGGAACACAGGCCAGCCACCAGCAGCATCAACAGCTCATCTCCCCTGTGACTGCCTAACATTTTCTTCTCCCATTTTAGTATGCAATTATTATACTAAAGAAGACTGCATGATAAATTTTAAGAGCATACAAGACTCATCACTCTCATGTATTTAATAGCCCCAGATTCACAGTCACCGAGCAACACTTCAGAATAAAGCAAGTGAAGGGCATTTAACAATACAGATAAGTGTTACACAAATGTGCTCACCAAATCTTCCAGGGCTTTTTCTGCAGGCAGAACAAAACTCACCTGGCTGGCCATTTCCAGGGACAACAGTCTTCTCACTACATCGTCAACACTGCAAGGAGGTGGCAGATTAGTTTATAAGCTAGAGGTGAAGTATATTTAACCACAGAAAGAAGGTTAGGTTTTCAGCACATATTAACTTTGCTCAACTTTAATTTACAAATTTCCAGCAGCTCTCCTCCCCTCCCAAACCTGTCAGCCATGAACTGTTTCTTCCATTCCTAAGAAAAATCACGGCTGAGATTCCAGCAGCACCGAGCAGTTTTGGTGCTGTGGGAAGGACAATGATTTCAACTGCCGATGAAGTCTCATCAATTCCAAAAGCACTACGTGCAGACTGGGTACTGAAGATTCACCTCCAAGTAAGTGTGCAAGGACAAAACCCTTGGCTTTCAGACCCGCTCCCTCACAGACCCGCGCCAGCCCCCGTGACGCCGCTGGGGGCTCTCCAAGCGCCACACATGAGCAGTCCTGGAACCCAAGCACAAGAACGCCAAACTCCAGCCCCAAAGTTCAGAAACAGCCATTCATTCTCAGTTGTTTAACTACACGCTCTCCAGCACCCGAGTTCAAGACAGACACAGATTCTTTCCAAGAAGATTACTTCTACGATTTCAAGATCATTCCTTTTTTCTACGGACTAGAGAGCCCACAGCAGATGTGGACAACCAGCACTTAATCTTACATTAAGTGAACAAAACCCTTACTTACCCCTAATCAGTGACTGCTTTTGCAAATTTGACTTCCCAAACGACTTTGCAATTTTTGCACTAAATTGCACACCAGTGACCACAGAGCATTAATTAATTACTGAGCAGATGACAGCTTCCATGTATTGTGGTTGTGTGTGTGAGATACAAATCTTTGAAGACAACAGTCACTCCCTTTCCCAGCGTCATACCTATTTATTATTGGGACATTGGCATAGTCCTTCTTCAGCATGGTGGGAGGAAGATCATCCAAATGGCTGGGGATGTCTACAAAAAGATTAACATTTGAGGAGAGCAGCGAAGTCAGAGCTCTGAACACGCTTGCAAGCCAGATCAGAGGAAACAATTGCAAAGAAAATCGACTGTATGCTCCAAACAAGCAGTAAGAACTTCAGAGATCAAGCTGAGATGGCAAGAATCGAGTGAATAAAACTGGGTCCAGTCTCTTGCCTTCAGCACTCTGGATTTACAACGTGGTGTGTAGTCCACTGAGATCAGTGATCTCTTGCTAATGACAATTGCTAACTTCTCACACATTCACGAGCTGCTAAATTTTCTGAGTAACTTTTGAGCTTGCAAGGAATTATTTCTAGAGGCACTGAACCACAAAAAGGTCGACAAAGGGACCTTGTAAAGTTTCTAGTCCAACCTCCCCCTGAACGTGGGAGTCATCATTTTGTTGTCTAGCAAAGCTTTGAAAACCTCTGAGTACGGATATTCCACAGCCCCTCTGCGAAGCGTGTTCCCACGCTGCACTGCCTTCCCAGCGAATCCTTCTTCCTTTGGTCTCCAGCTGGAACTTCTCCGAGCTGCTGTTTGGTACCACTGCCCCTCACTGTGTCGTTAGGCACTACCAAGAAAAAGTCGAGCTCTCTCACCCTTGTAATTACCCACCAAGAAGCTGCAGGACTGCAGAATCCCGCAACAGGGATTATATTTCCTCTCTCTTCTCATGACGAGCTCTGCATCTTTAAAGTAAAACCACGAATTTCTCCAAACACCCTCTCTCCCTGCGGCATTAGGGTACAACTCTGACAATGTCAGCAGCAAACCATTCTGCCACGTGGCCCCATTAGTCCCGACGTACCTTTCCTCTTTCTTCTCACAGGTCTGGCGTAACATCTGGCTGTCTGAATAAAGGGACTGCAAGCTTGATGGAAGAAAACAAAGATTTATCAGACTTGTGTGCACATTTTTAGCTAGGTACGCTTAACTGCTACTCACTCTGTACTAGAAAACTGGTCAGAGTACTTAGACCCCAAGGTGATCAGTGGCCAGCCAGGCCTTTTGTCCCAAAGGAGTGTGTAACAGTTCAGTGTGGTTCCCACATGGGTGCTAGAAACAAACGGGCGAAGCTGTGCCGCTTTGGGGTGATCTGAACCCAAATGATGAGAAGACCAGAGCAGCAGGAAGAGATTAGAGACACTGAGCAGCGAGTGAGGGCTCCCCAGCTGGGTGGTGTTCATTGAGAGGGTTTAAACTGATGAACTAGCTCACGCAATTTCACATGCGGGTCAGAAGGGCTGCTCTGGGCCACCCCAGCGGCAGAGCGCAGAGGCAGCGAGACCCAGAGACAACCTGTGACCGGCAGAGCTTGGTACAGTTGAGAATATTCGTCAGCAGCCTGAGCCAAGCTGTTCTTTGACCTTTTGAGAACAAACTCGTCCAACTGCTCTTCCAAGGTCCCTGCTGTCGGACTCAACACCTGCTTCACGTTATCCACCTGTGCCTCAAACACGTTTTCAAGCACCGACTTCGCCAGCCCACGTGCCCGCCCGCTA